TCTAAAATCAGAGATATGTATATTTTATATTTTCGGAGCAAATGTCCTTCATCCCTTTACATACTTATATATGTATATTTTATACTTATCCACGGATACTATATACCATTTTACCCTAGAACAAGTATAGTAACCACAAAAAACCAAAAACGTGTTGCATACCTGAAAGGCTTTAGATTCACTAGAATTCAATGATTAAATTAAACAATTTTAAGTAACTTCAATGTGTATTAACTAACTGAAGATCAACATTTCATGATTCAAGGGAAGGCGGGCAATTAAAACTTCGCATATATGTATCTTGCGTGGGAGAAGCTCAGTCATGACTTGAAAGTGAGTGAACTGCGGCTTGCATCCACGATCCAACTGCAAACTACATATTCCCAGACTATTTGGCTAACTGGGAGCAAACAGTTATCTGTCGTGGTGGGAATGGGAATGGTGGGTGGAGGCAAAAGTGGCTGTGGAAGTAGGTGTGGAAATGGCCGTGTAAGCAGGCATGTTAACCGGTTTGAGATCAACGCTTCCTACCGTTTAAGGAAACGGACCCCGAAAGAGAGAGGTGCACATTGGACGGAGTTACAATTTAATTCGGCTTTCATGTTTATTCACATTATACTACCGAAGTTTTCTTAAAGATTATTACTTTTTATAAAAATATAAATTTAGTTTACCCCTATTTCCAATTTTTGAGATCATTTTTGAAACAACCTACTTTTATCGATATTGCATTCCGTCCAATGTGCATAGTCGATGGGTCGAAATATTAGCCAGAGTGGGCGGTCACGTTGGCGTAGAAATACACACAGAGAAACCAAATATTTTAATCAATTATATCTTACTGTGGTTTTAATATTTAGAGTCAACTGAGAATTAAATAAAAATCATCCCAGTAATATAAAATATAATAATACATATATCATATTAAATTTTAATGTTTTTTAAAATGTTTTCGTGTCTTATTTATAATAAATTAAGAACTATTATTTTAAATTCGTAATGTGGTCAAATTGATACGTAATTAAAATCAACCTTTACAAATTCAATTGTATTTCCAACTCTGAAAACTGTCTGTATTTTAAAAAAATATTTCTCTGAGTGTACATGGACATCCACGAACTACCCACTCTGCATCGGTTTGTTTGTAAACAAATGCAAAACTAAATGACTCAGGCGCCTGACATTGGTGTTCGGAGACGAGATTCTGAACCGGAATCTGAATCGGGAATCGAGTCGAGTCGAATGGAGCCGCGCGTAAAGATGTCCTTTTACGGAGCGTCGGCCACGGGAATGCAAATTAATGGAACCAGGTTACAATGACCGTTGTGGCAATTAATCGAGCATTATTACTGCCAGTACAGAGAAAACTGTGAGATATGATACATTTAATTTTTGACAATTTAAATACTAAACATTTAATGAGTAAGGGATTGAGAAGGTCCATTTATATTGCGTTTGTTTTCAGTGAAACATTTCATTCGCTTGTGCCAAAACATATCTTTTCTGTGATAAATTGTTTCTGCGTGCATCCACCACAACATAATATAAAAATGTGGTTTTGGTCAGTAAATGTATAGCATTTCCAAATTACCCGAGTTTCCGCCGAGGAAGTCTTAACTGTATATTGGGTGCGTTTTCGTTGCAAATTCCATCGGGGGCAGTAGAACCATTTAAATAATTCTAGATTTAATCATGAATTACGAAAATAAAATGACAATCATCAACGCTGCCGCTGCGACTAAGGTGTTTTCGTTTTTATTTTTCATGGCGCCCACATGGACGCGACACGGCTATGGCTGCTAATGCCCCCTGTCCAAACAATAAACTCATTTTCATCAAAAATTTCAACCTTGAAGGCCACAGAAGCTCGACTAAGCCGCAAGTAGGTAATCCGAAAAAATAATGGGAAGACAACGCATCTAGATCTACATATTTGCATCTAGAATCTTTACGTAAAACGTCAATGTATAACGTACTTATATACAACTATTAGTTGCCAACGATATTGCTTAAACTCACAAAAATTACCTGCATTGTTTATTTTACCTTTTTTAGGGGGACAGTTGAACTCAAAAAAATTACCTGCATAGTTTATTTTACCTTTTTTAGGGGCACAGTTTAATGTATTCTCCAATTCCTTGGTAATACAAATGATCCGAATTTTGAGTATAAAAAGTTAAACATAAACCCAAATATTATAACTTTGTAGTTAGTTTAACCACTAACCATACAATATACATATGTTGTTAACGCTGTGAAACTTATTTTTTATCTTCATTAAATTCTTTGAAGTCTTGAAATTAATAAAATGTAAAACATATACATATATGTAATTGAATCGAATAAGTTTCCCAAAAAAGGTTTAATGAAGATTGAATTTAAATAAAAGTCATATATAAGCTTAGACCGTACAATAAACAAGAAACATCTAGAAAAAAAGAGTCAGCCGTAGTATTGTTCTGCTGTAGAATTTACCTCTTGAGGATCGGCGAGATATAGGGAAAACAAATTTTCCCCACGTCACCAGAATATTTGAAACGAAACAGAACCCATAACACGAAAATATGTATGAGTGCTCTAGTCATTTGCCGGTATGTCATCCCACTTCAGCTCGTAGTCCGTCCATCCAAAACCAAAAACAAAACCCCCTCCACTCTCCACCCAGTCAGAAATCAATCAAAATTTGCTCGCGATGATTTAGCATGGAATTTTTGGCTGATGATGAGAGTTCACTAATTTTTCAGCTCGGGCAAATAGCGAGCAGCAAATAGCGATCTCGATCTTGTCCTGCGTGGGCGTCATCCATTGGCATTGGCTGCTGCTTGACGACAGCATTAAAATATGTGTCAGCTAGAAAAGCAAGTGTTGTTAATATTCAAACAAAAGCAAGCCATCACATATGTGCGATGTACATGAAAATACGTATACATAGTATAGGTTTGCGAGTGCAGTGTGCGGGTACATATTTAATTATAGGCGGAGAGATACACAAATTAAACTTTCGAATGCTCGCTGTAAATTGTTGGACAAAAGCGACAGTCTAAAATTTATTGTTTAACGTTAATTGATTTGGAATTGTAGAAATACTACAGCTTAAATCATTTGTTTAGCACTTGGGCCGGTAGAAGTCGACCAATAAACAAAATATGCAAGTTTATGTACATGTACTTTCAGGGAGCCGTGACTACTCCCACTTAGCTGTAATTCATTTCCATTTTTGCATTGCGGCATATTTTTGGCATTTACGGATAATGAAATATATCCGATGATATCATAGGGCATCATATGATTTTCAAAAAATGAGTCATCCAGATTGGTTTTCAATACAAGCAAAACTTAACTTGGCCTTACATCTCAATAAGAAAGATTTCGTATTAATTACAATTTTTTAATAAATAAATGATTAGCAACCAAAAATCTCGCTGAAAGATTAAAGAGAAAGCTTATAAAGACAATTGACTTTGATTTTTTGTTGGCGGTGAAAATTGATTTATTTATAGAAAAGCTCCTTCTCTTTCTTTTGTTGAAAACTAACTTAGTGTAGAAACCACTTTATTAAACGTGGTATAGTAAATTGAAATGTATGGAAGGTCGAAAGGATCTATTCGAAAATCATTAAATTAAAGTATGATGTAGACCGCGCCTTAAAATTTTTTTCTTAATAAATTAGTTGTTTTATCTTTTGATGCTATTAATGTTTTTGTTCTTTAGTTTATGCATTACCAAAAGCTACTGCATATCTCTTAAAATTAACATTCCATTCAACTTTTTATACCCTTGCAGAGGGTATTATAATTTTGGTCAAAAGTGTGCAACGGAGTGAAGGAGACATCTCCGACCCTATAAAGTATATATATTCTTGATCAGGATCACCTCCTGAGTTGATATAGCCATGTCCGTCTGTCCGTCTGTCTGTCCGTCTGTCTGTCCGTCTGTCTGTCCGTCTGTCTGTTTCTACGCAAACTAGTCTCTCAGTTTTAAAGCTATCGAGTTGAAACTTTGCACACACCCTTCTTTCCTTTGCACGCAGTATATATGTCGGAACGGCCGGGATCGGCCGACTATATCCTATAGCTGCCATATAACTGATTGATCGGAAATGCCATAACTTTGGTGTTTGTAAAGTTAGGAAGCTGGGATTTTCTATGGGTTTTATAGTTGGCCAATCAATCCGACCTACCAAATTTCATAAGGATCGGAGGACTATATCCTATGGCCGCCATATAACTGATTAATCGGAAATGCCGTAACTTTGGTGTTTGTTAAGTTAGGAAGTTGGGATTTTCTATGGGTTTTATTGTTGGCCAATCAAAGCCACCTACCAAATTTCATAAGGATCGGCCGACTATATCCTATAGCTGCCATATAACTGAACGATTGGAAATGCCATAACTTTGGTGTTTTTAAAATTAGGAAGTTTGGATTTTTTATGAGTATTAAGAATGCATCATATGAATAATTTTGGAGAATATAATTTACAGAGTATTCTGCAAGGGTATATCAACTTCGGCTCCGCCCGAAGTTAGCTTTCCTTTCTTGTTTTAAATGATATTTTTAACGAATTTAATGAGATATAACATTCCAACATTCGACCATTATTTCCGCGAGGTTTAAATCAAAAACCCGAAAAATCAAGATGATTTTTTCCGCATTTTGATAATAATATATTTTATAAGTACTCTCAGGATTTTTTTTCAAAAATTAATATAAAATGAAATTGTTTAGCTGTGAAATTCGGAATTTTATAACGAATTTAACGATGACATTCTAACATTTTTACCACTATTTTCAAGGTTTTGATTAAACAACCGAATGGAATTCTGCTATTTATTTATTTTATTTTTTTTTTGGTATTAGTGTTAAGTCGTTTAAAAGAGCGTTTCAATTGACAGCTACTATTGTCATCTTGCTCTGTTACCACATATATAAATATATATATCGATATAAGTTCAAGCAGAAGATTTTAATCGATAATTTGGGTACCCTGACAACCCTGCCATGCGATGAAAACGGTCACACTAAAAATAGCAAGTTGTGTGCGTGTGTATTCATTTGGCATCGGGGCGAAGAAAATAAACAATTGCCAACGAATAACTGGGAGTCCAAGTGATCCGATCCCGAGACCAGACCAAGACCATGTCCGCCTACTACAGCCTGTACACGGGCGATAACTACGACGACGAGTCGATCGGCGACGAGCGCAGCGAGGAAGGTGAGTACGCTGTACCCGGCTGTCCTGCCGATGGCTTCACTTACGGCTCGTATCCTGCGCGCTCCCAATCCCTTGCAGACACGGACGACGCCAGCGAGACCGAGTTCCGCAGCCCCAGCCGCTATGGCGGCACCAATGGCACCTCCAACAGCAACAGCAACAGCCTGGGCACCAACAGCGAACTGAAGGAGCAGTGAGTAGTCGTAGCGGGATACCCATCCTTACTTTTTCATCTCTTTAACCCATCCCTCCTCTTTCCGTGCCGCAGGATGTACCAGCACAAGCTGCTCAATCTGCAGAAGCAAATGGAGGAACTGGGCCAACTGGTGCACCCAGAGTACATAAAGCGCGTGAAGAAGCTTGACAACCAGCTAAAAGAGAGACGCCGCCTGAACGACATATACAAGGAGTACATGCGCGAGTGCGTCGAGCGGGACTACGTGCTGGAGAAGAAGGCCGCCCAGAAGGAGTACGACGAGAAAATGATGGACCTCAAGGACAACCTGATCTCGGACTTTGAGGACCGCAAGCGCCAGATCGAGAACGAGCGCTTCAGCCTTGAGCTGACCAACGATTCCATGGAGATCAAGACGACGGTCACGCGAAAGCTGCGCCGCCGTCCCAACGAGCCACTGCCGGTAATAGAGAAGCGCCGCAAACCGGCCACCGGCCAGCTCCTCGTCTACCAGCTGGACGACAAGGAGATCGAGTCGGACCTCAAGATCATCCAGCGTGGCAAGCCGCTGGCGCCAAATGTCCTGCAGCAGAACGGCATTGGCTCCTACGGTGGCGCCCAGCAGCAGCAACCTGTACACGGTCTGCTGGCCGAGCCGCCCGCCAATAGCGGCTACGTGGAGACCCGCATCGAGGACAACAAGCTGCTGTATGAGCGACGCTGGTTCTGCCGCGGCCAGCAGATCTATGTGGAGGGCAAAGAGATGAGCAAGTTTGCGGCCACCATCACCGCCATCGGCAACGAAGTGGTTCGTACTCCCAACCCCTTTTCTTTCTATTGCCTTGTTTCTAATCAAGATTCGCTCTTTTAGGTCTGGGTAAAGCGCACGAATGAGACCAAGGTCAAGATCAACATGTCGCATTTGGCCAAGGGGAAGATCTCGATTAAGCGGCGATAGCTTCGCCGTCGGGCCGGGCGCTTCCGCATCACGTCTGTCCCGCTACCTCGGTCAAGAGACATATTTTCATAAACATATTGGTACGAACGCAGCCCTAGACTAGGTGTACATTTTACTTAACGAATACTACAAACTGTAAATAATGAAACACTTATTTTTTATACAAAACGATTTTTATTGAATCTCACGAATATGCTTCGAGTATTGCAGCAGTAACTCCATTGGCAAGTTGTATGCTACATTTTCATAACTTATCCGTATCCAATCTGCGACAGTGGCTTTATCTGTTTTGTATACAAGTTCTGAATTGGAATAAGACCCAGATTCAATCTGGATTACTATTAAATTACTGCTTATATATTTCGGTTTCTTCGGGTAGAACTTAACCAATACCATTTTCATCCAAAACCCAGCAGAATATGGAAGTCCGGTTATCGATGTAATTATTTACGTCATGAAAATTGATCTCTGCAAAAGAATATACCTTATTGAACTCGAAAGCGTTCCTCTTTTCTGAAAATGTAACAATATTACATACTTACTTTTCTTAACGTACTAAAATAAATAAGTTTATCGCTTTTAATATGCATTAAGTCTCCGGTTTATCAAATCAGCCAGAAAATTATATTTTTAAGCCCAGTTTCTATATTAAAAGTTATTCCTTAACGCTTGCTTAGAAAGTTAAGCAAACAATATTATTGTTAAACCCTAATGTAGGTATTTTTAATTCGTTGAAACTCTTATGCCCTCAAGTTTATCAGTAAAAATATAAGAAAAAGGCCTAATAAAATCGGAAGCAATTATCGTTTGGTGAGACTTTACACGCATTGCAGTTAAAGTATTAAAATGTAAACCTTACCTTAAAAATATATTTAATTGGGCAACTAAATATTTTAAAATAAAATTAAATAGTTTTTAAATAAAAAAATATAGGTTTACTCCACCAGTTTATTTATCACAAGCAAGAATATTAAAAAACCAATTAAAACCATCTCGACAGGGTATTTAACCAGAGAAAAACACGCATTACACCCAAAAATTTATGTTTCACATTTCTCTGACGAAAAACTATTCGACTTACAGTAAAAAATTAAGGAATTTTGGAAGGAAGGAAGAAGTATTTACTAAACAAATTCTTATTTGCAATAATTTGGAATCCTTTAGTCCTACGGTGTTTAAGCGATCATGTAGCTTAAGTTAATGATTGTGTACCCTAATAAACCCAGAAACCAATTTATTTCGGGTAATTATAGTATTGCAAGATTTTTATCATTGATTTTTCGAAGCAAAAACACAAATTAGAATATTAAATCCGGTTTTGTTTCTTTGTAGAATAAGTCAAAAATAAGAATATTTGATGAATTTTGTTGCATTAAGACATCGTTTTGACCGCAGCCAATGATAACCTAAAATATTTCAGGTTTAATTTAGCATTTTTATGATTTTCACTTGGTGCCAAATAAATTACAAAAGCTTCCCATGCCAACTACTTAAACATCGTAAAATAACCAATTCTACATGTACAAATCTGATGCATTGCTTAATTGTCTCCCTGTTACAATTATGGAAAAAGGATTTCAGTAAAAAATCGTCACTACTTCGTTCAACAAAAGCAAAAGAAACTTAAATTTGGCAAGCCAAAGTCCATGTTTTTGTAACCCAATGTATGTAGCAATGCGAAAACGGTCGAATTAAAACTTGTAATGGGATTTGGTGCTATTTGTATGGAGGAATCTTTAAAAGATACTCGTTTTGAAAGCCATTGTCACCCGATTTTAACTTTAAAACCCTCTCTAACGGGCTAGCAATTGCACAGAGTAAATGGCACATGTTGATAAAGACTTTCAATGTGCTTATCAAATACGTGCATTATTTATAAGGTCGGAAATTATGAACCCTTTCTCATTTGCAAAAAGCCTGTAGTTTTGGCATAGCTTTCCCTACATTTTCGGTTTTTTATACCATTCATAGACATACGAATCAACACACTGATGGCATTGGGATCTTGCATATGCACACCAAAATCACTGGACCAAACACAAAAAAAAACAGCACGGGTTTCACTTGCGTTTGTTTTATAATTGCTCGTCATATAAAACACACACACATTTTTCTGATGTTTTGTTGAGGGGATCTTCAGTTCAACATTTTACTGAGTTTGATTTATACATAAAAAAAAAACTGAAGCGCATGGGTTTAGTTGCGCGATCCGCGTCCGAATCCGCCGCGGAACTCGACCTCGCCAGCGCCAGGTCCGACATCGGCCTTCTTGTCGACTCCACTGCCTCCGGGAGCACGTCGGTAGGCGGAGCGGTCCTCACCGGTCTTGGAGGCGTCTCCGGGTCCGCGTGGACCGCCAGCGGCTGGGCGCGGACGGACGGTCTCCGAGCGGGCGGGACGCTTCAGGGTCGAGGGGACGATCTCGGGCGGCAGGTGCAGGTAGCTGCGCAGCTCCTCGATGCCCTCGTTGGTGAGGTACCAGTAGTAGTGGCGCCAGGCGAACTGCTCCTTGACCAATCCGCGCGAGTGCAGCGACTGCAGGGCCTTGATCACGTGCAGGTTGGGGATCGACTCCAGCTCCGGGTGCTTCTGGGCATGGAAATCCTTCTTGGCCACGATCACGCCCTCCTTGAAGAGGTACTCGTAGATCGCGACACGATGAGCCTTTGGCATAAACATTCTGCACAGACAAAAAAAGGGAAACAAAGTATCGAATTAGCATCGCATTTTTCGGGGAGGTTCTTGTTCTTGTATACAGACAGTATCCATTTCATTTCACATATTGTTTATCGAGTTTACTGCCAAATTGGCAACATAAGCTCAGCACAGCAAAAAAAAAAAAAGGTATACATATGTATGTTCGGGAACAACATTGGGCACATATTTTCCCGGTGCGTCCATTTTAATATCAGTTTATTCAGCGGCCATTACCTGGATTGATTGGCAAACACAAAGTTACACGAACGCGAACGTATCGTAATACTCCCGCTGCAAATAAAAAGAGATTTGGGGGTTTTAAAATGTGAATTTCAGTAAAACAAATCGCGGAGCACACGCACTCACCGGAAACGTGAAGACGAAAAGAAAGGGAAACGGAAGGGATGACAAGAAGAAGACGGAGGGCAGTGTGGCCGACCTAATCAAAAATATGCGAACTATCGATTCCGCCATCGATGCATCGATATTTTTCTGGACACAATCCATGGTTGAGAATAACGGTAAGAACGAACATAAGCGTGTGTGACTTGCTTTCTGAAACTTATTGGGCTTATAATTTCTAGAAATAGTGTTATAGAATTTTTGAAGTACGTGAAATCCATTTTTCGACCGGTTTCCACAGCGACAGTGTTGCAAGATTGCCGCGTATCGATAGCAACTTATTTATGCACACACCCAAATTTTGCAAGTAAACAATTACCGATAGTCTTTTTAGCAAATTGTTACTAGTGCAAGCACACTAAACTACTTGTGGTTCCAGTACCGAAATAATCCCGATAACGCAAAATCAGGGCTTACAATAACATAGGGCTGCATTTTGGATTTAATTATTGTTTTGATTTACTTATGAAAAATAATTCAAATAATTAAATATTAAAAAAAAATGTAATAAACGTTGTTGCTTTTCGTCAAAATCCAACGTTTTTTTATTACGACTTGTTATTTATATATCTTGTTCAAGTCCACCCTTATTTTATATATTTTGAAATATTATTATATACCGGTTAATTTGTGCAAATAGACTTTGTTTTTATTTTAGCCAACATTCTTCGCGACTTATAATTTTTGTACTTCTTGTTGATGTTTTTTTTATGTATATGTTGAACTTCAATGTAACCATTGTTCGGTCATAAAAAAGCAACTAAAGCATTCGGATTTATTAAGGTGTAACATGTTATTTTAATATTTCTGGAAAATTAACATTTGGATTGACTTAAACAAATTTATCTTAACCTGCGGAACTAAAAAAAATACATATAAAAGCTTAGAGAAAAGTAACTGAATTACATCAGGTGAGAAATCTATTTTGTAGTTGAAGTCAACATGAATGGCTCAATTCTCGGTCGCTTTACGTATTTTTTTGGATAACGTTGTGGCTTTGTATACTCTATTTTTCAACTTTGCGAAGGCCGCCCGAACCTCCTTTCCGTAGTCACCGAATGTATACCCATCCCTTTTTTGTGACTCTGTGGTATAAAAGTACAAAATAAAAATTAAAAACGAGCGCAGGTTTTGTATTTTAAACGTACCATATAAAGACATGTTTAAGCTCACGTACGAATTCAGTCCCGTTTTGGAACACGTTCCTGAATAATTCATATTCATGAGAATCGATGTTGCTAATATTCTATTCAAGTGCTTTTTCACGCCCTCGGGGGAAAGGATGGTTCGGAACAGTTCAACCTGTCAGAAATATACATACATATATGTTCATAGAAAGAAAGACTTTTAAAATTTAAAATTCGTATACTCACATATTTTTCCGGGTTTGCCGCTACTTTTGCTTCTATTTCATCAAGTTCTTCAATGGTTTTTATAGGAAACTCAGGCTTTGGCAGCGAGGTTTGAAATTTTTCCGCAATTTTTTTAATTGTCGTCAATATTTTGCTATTTTGTTCTACCATCGTCGAAAGCTGGGACTCAATTTTTTCAATTCTCCGCTCCAGTCGAGACACATTTTTATTTTCAGAGCTGAGAGTTTGAACGATTTGATCGAATTGATTCTGTGTCAGAATGTTATTTTTGTTCGAACTGATCGTTTTTTTGGGTTGACTCTGAGATTCACCTCTTGATTCTTGAGCAGAACTATTTGATTCATTTGTAAAACTAGACTCATGTTCTATATCATCCGAAGCTAGCGACTTATTCGCCTTCTCTTTCTCTTCTTTAGCCAATCGCCAAAGGCTGGATCTGGACACAACATTCATTATAATGTATTAGGTTCGTGATTTTTCTGTATAAACGGCACCCCAAATGTCTGCGTCATATGTACATAGGTCCACCCTAATGTTATCGTCGCTGGTCATTCACATACAATTTAAGAACAATAATAATAATTAATAATTACCACAGTAAATTAAATTAGGTTATATTTTATTACATTTAATACATCAAATGTATAGTTGTTTTTTTTGGGACTCCGTTTTTGTAAACATAGTAAACCATTTAAGACTTAGGAGTGAGTAATATGCATAAAACACAATAAAGAATACGCTTTCTTTCGAACAGAAATCTAACTTGAACTCGCACGACCGACGAATACCGAATAACACAAATGAAACACCGGAAAAAAAGGTATTTTTATCATGTATTACCTTTCCCTCTCTCTTTTCTCTCTCTTTGAGCACGCGGCGTTCCATTTGCATTCTGCCGGATGCGAAGTTTGCATGTGTGATGACATTCTGCTTTCCAAAAAACGAGAGAGCGTCACCAGCAGTGCAGCCAATTTTGATTTTTTACAGCTAGGGTTTCGATTAAAAAACAGAAAAATCGGGCTTGTTTTTTTACGGTTTTAGCTAAAGTATTTTTCATAAAGGTAAAGGGTTGATATCACATTTTTTTCTGTGAATGCCACTTGATTGGACATTTTATAACCAATTCAACGAGACAACATATTTTTTCTTAAAAACCGAGTTAATTTTTTCGAGATTTTTCACAAAACAACTACAAAAAATTAAAAATTAAACCGAAATCCATCAATATTACAAATTTTATTTGAAAAAAAAAAGTCCTTAACCTATTATAAATATTTTAGACTAATATCTCATTGTGCATATGTATATATTTATTTGTAGGAAATGGGCAGTTTATTTTCGAGCTGTGGGGCGTCCTGAATACATCCCACTGTTTTCGCATTGAACTGTTCGGCAGCAGGGAGATTGGGTTTCTTGGCGGGAAGCCAGAGGCTTTCCAAACTTCCGAAGGGCGCCTCAATCAGGATGTAAATGGCGAAGGCGAGGAGCATAGTGAATCCAAAGTCGCCCCAGAAACGAAGCATCTGTAATGGTTTCCCATTGGTTAGTCGTTGGAGTCATCGTCATTAAGTTCCAAACTTACCACTTGGTAGTCACTGAAGTAGGTGTTGGTACGCGTTATCCCACCGTTGAGGCTCTCGATGAACATGTGGATAATGTACGCGGAGTAGGAGAGCTTGGACAGGGGCTGCCACAGCGGGAAGGAGAGGAAGCTGTTGGCCAGTCCCCCGTATCCTTGCATGCAGGCGAACACCACCCAGCAGAGGCCCAAGGGCCAGGCGATCCTTGTGAAGGTCAGGTAGAACGCTTCCTCCAAAATTGGCGGTGTCTCCAAAGCCTTCGCATACCCGAAGACCGAAAACAAGCAGGTCAAGAGCAGGGCCGAGCTAACTAGCCAGCCCACAAGGACAGTGAGGCGGTTCAGCTTGAAGGACTTTCCCCGGTTAATGTGCAGGAAGTATCCAAACAGGACGCCAATGAGATACGGCGACGCTCGAGTGTGTGTCGAGTAATAGATCTTCTTCATCGCATTATTGCTGGACGAAATTCTGCAGAGATTAGATGGTCAAAGTTAAAAGGCATGTTTCGGTTTTTGATTGCAAACCGAAATTCATATAAGTTTAAGTTTGGACGCACTATAAATTCATAACTTCATAACTACAAATTGATGTTGTTATTTGCAAATAGAAAGCAAGGATTGGCTTCCTGGCTTAACGATTAATAGCAAGACTTTAAGGAACTTTTTTAATCAAATTCGGTATTAATCAATTTAAAAAACTATATAAATGAATAAGAAATATAAACAAAGTGGGTTTTCCTAATGAAACTCAAACCCTAAAGTCAGAAAGTTAGCTAGGCGAAAGGCATTGTAAGCTATAATTTCTTTTCCTATGTTATTAGCCCTGAGTTTAAAGAACTTAAATTCAAATTGAGTTCGATGAATAAACCTAAAATAAAACAGTAAAGCCTACGATACTTACAGAGAAACGTTCTCGACGACCATTATACTAAAAAGACCAGCTGCCAGGAGTAGCATGATGACAAAGATCGCCGCGGCAGCCTTCGATTTCCATTTGAAGAGCGCGATGAGGAGTAGGGGAGCAATGATGTAGAGCTGCATGTCGACGGCCAGGTACCAGGTATGGCCTAAGCACTGGACAGAAATTAAGAGGGACATGAGCGGGTGCATCCGAGCCAATACAAAGTAGAGGAACCTACAATTTCGTTGGTGGCATAGTTCTGCACATACAGGAGCGTCCAGACCCAGGTGCGTTCGCAAATTGAGTAATCGTCGAAGCTAACCTTTCCGAACAGCGGGCCGTCGCCCATCAGGGGCAGGATCTTCATGTACACGATGATGGACAAGGCCAGGACCGGAGTGAGACGCAGATAGCGATGCAGATACATCAGGGGCACATTGAGCTGTCCCTTGGTCCTGCAAACGAAGCCCATTAAGATCAGCATAACTACTCTCTAAGACCAAACATACCTCTCCATTGCTCGCAGGGCAATCACTACCAGCAAGAGGCCACTCAAGAAAAAGAAGGTGTCCACTGAATAAGCTGCATGCTGTAATAACATGCTATACGCCGATTGGCGCCACTGTCAAGAGAAAGCATAATAATTAAATAAAAATGAACATAATAATCTTTGGGTGTACTTTACCGTGTGCAGTTTGACAATGTTCATATTGGGACCGAAGAGGAATACGAGATATACATGTCCATATACCACCCAGATGAACGAAAGGCACCGAATCCCATGGAGGCAGTCAATGACATTGGGGTTGCTCCTGGTGTCCGCCAGCCGGAAGAGCACTCGGCAGTTGGCACGGGCCGAGAATGCCTTGATCCACACATTTAGGCTTTCTGTCGGGAGGAGTTTCACATTAGGCCATGGATTCGAATTGTAATTCATCCTCGCAATACTTACTTTCATCCCGGCACAATAGGCAGTCATATAGAGTGGCCAGGGCCATCAGTGTGGCTAATATCGACAGCACGACTCTGCAAATATCACCTTTAGGACCTTTCTTTGAACTCGCTAAAGTGCACTTACATGGTGAATATGGTAAGGCCATCGTAGGGTTCTCGATCGGCAGTCTTGCATCTATCCTCCCTCACTAGAGGATCATCCGGATTGAGCTCCAAGTTGAGAAGACTCTGCAATAACTTCCGTAGCATTGTGTCCATGTGGGCGGCGGAACAGGAGGCGGGAAAACAGACCGCTGTCTTAAGTGACACATATTCCGATATGCTCGGCGCGATTGATATCCTGGTGAGGCAGTACTTGCCCTGGACACTCTGACTGGGGGTAACATGGTGCTCTATGCCGAGGCACTCGTCAAAGTTTCCCAGATCAATCAGATTGCCGTAGAGGATACCCGAAGGCAGTGTGCCCCACGAGTCGATCACTGTGTTAAATTGGGTGAGTTAATTAGATGATTAGATATTTCAAATAATATTGCATGAATTTCCATTTTCTTTATGTGTGAGACAATATACAAAGTACCATAAAGGATACAAAAATGGTTTCCATAGCATATTAGGTTTTAAAGAATAAAAAAAGGACACGAATTCTTTTTTTTTTTTTTTTTTTGGGAAAACTACCCATAGACTAGGGTTACTGGAATAAATGAAGACTTACTTTTTAGGGCCCAGATCTTTGCACTCGATACATCTTTTGCAAGTATTTGTAGATCTGCCAGGCATTGCCGAGCATCCGTGGAAGGAAGTCGAGTGTGCTGATCCCGAAGCAGATCCTGCACCAGATCCGAATTGGTAATGTTCTGGTAGTGGTCGAAGAACTCCACCGCCAGGCGTCTGAGTCCGGAAATGGTGTGGTAGGTTGGTGGGTTAACGAGCTCCAATGAACCATCTTTCGGGGAATCCAGACCGATGCTGGCGCTAACTAACGCCAAGGACATCAGCAGGAGCGGAGTAGTTAATTTAATGTTGACCATGTCGATTGGTCTGCGGTAAGCAACTGATTGTTTGGGTTAGCAGTTCGGCCCAGCTTATAATCGAAGGCTAAAACTTCGATATGTAATGGTTTGCCTTTACTAGTGTTATCACAGTGCAGTATGTGAACCTAGCCAATAAAAACCTAGGAATCTTAGTTATCGACGGCTAATCATTCAGGACCGAATCGGTCTTTGTTCAACTGCTAAAATCAATGTCACGATCAATTGTGTACTGGGATATTCTCTACTACAGTCAAAGTCTGCCCCAAATTACCTTTAAATCGTAGTACTGGATCAGACTTAGCCGGCGATAATACCGATAGCACCATAAATTTGGTCTAGACACGCTTTTATGGAAACATTTTAAACAGAAATGTGTTGAAGTGTTGTGTTTGTGGAACTGAGAAAGTTTTTAAAAGGGCATGTAGAATAAGATTCGTATTTTTTGGATTATGAACAAACATTCTGACAGATGCGATGATTAAAACTATAGATGAAATGCATGAGATATAAAACCAATCGCAACCATTTTTCATAGTGATTTGTGAACCATATTGTTCACTTAGTTCTGCGGCTTTGAATTTGTTACTAATTCTTGTTTTTGTATAGAAATGGTAATAGATAATAAGTCCTTAGGAGCCATAACATCCAAAAGAGTACTATGGGCTTCGCCAAAACTATAGTTTAAACTTGCATTTATACGTACTCCAGAAATTTCAAGTCGATCAGATTTGTACTTTCGCTGATATAGACACAATTTTAATTAATTTAATCAAGTAAAATATCATTTTCGTTTGTGCTATCAATTAATTTTGAGATAAACTATTACTTTTTATATTTTTCTTTCACCATTTTTAATGTACACCGGATGGGTGACTTTTTTGGGATCTTGGCACATTAAACTACGGTGTTAGTAGCTTTAACCAATTTTTTTTTTTTGAAATAATAACGAAATGGTTACAAAGATAGGTGCACTGTTGCCTAACTGAGCAACTTAAACAAATCAGAAATAATAAACAAAAAAATTAATTATGTCAGCAGCACATAATAAATATAAACTATAGAAAAGTTATATAAATTGAGTCTTAGGATATGCGAGAAATTTTACCAGCAATGCTATGGTAATCATTAGGTCAAGACCCGAGCCAGCAGGGCTTGAGGATGATGGCGTTTCAGTCTTCTCCTGATTAGCTAGGCTGTTAGGGTGACCTCCAAGCCTCTCCGTGTATTTTAGTGCAATCGCCTCAATTTTATCCCCAATTTTAGGTACGCTCAATGTCCGCCGTTCTCATGTACCATGGAGCTCCTGAGATCCTCCTCAGCGTCTTTGGCTTGAAGTACCCTTATTTTGTTGAGGAGCGTTTAAGCTGTGTATAAAAATATCCAATTTAAGGAAGTACATCTACACGAAATCGTAGCACATTTATTTGATACTGTTTTGTTAATAATATTTTGAAACGATTTAATTAAAAGATTTGCTAAATGTATTGTAAATACCTTTTCTGTTTTCTTTTGCTATAGTGTCAATTTGCTTTCAAGAGGCTTTGCTATCATTTTTCGGATTAAATTAAAAGCTTAACAGTTTCTTTTAATCTACAATTATTCTAAGTAAACCAAATGCGTACCGCAGTAAAGCTGGAATTTTGATTATCTGACGATTACAGTGCGATTCGTTTTAATTATGGTTTGTGTACATATCAAAATGACCGTGCAAAGCAAATCACTTTCCCGAATAATAAACCTGAATTGATTAACCGGAATTGTTTTGCCAATGATAAGAGGGCACTGCAATAATGCTTAAGAGTATTTACAGGCTAATTCGATTTTATTGAAGCGATGCCAATCGAGTTAAGCGGCCTTCCTCGAAATTAGTCATTGAATAGTAGCAGACAGTTCCCCCAAGTAATCTTCAAGTACTTTTCGAATCGCCTAATACCGCGATAAGTTACAGATTCATTGGGGTGACAGCAATATTACTCAGAAAGCAGCTGCAGACTTCAAGTTTCCCCGTTATCACTAAGTGTCCCGATAGTCTTATTCAAAAGCGTTCGCCCCCATTGTTGTTAGGTGACCAAAGGGACTTTACTTTGTTGACAGAAATTAAAATTAAATTTCTCTAGGCCTAACTAAAAAGAGTGGATTGATAATGATCCATTCCAATTTTTAAGATTGTTTAAATAGTCCCATAAAAATACTTTCGCAGATATAGACTTTGGACACTCTAACATAAAATGTTATGAAATGATAATTATTAAATTTTAAACACATGTTCAAGATGACAATATAAATAGATGGAACGAAGGATTTTAATTTTTTACATTATCTTATTTTAAGAATTTACAAAAAGGGCGTACAAGTTCCATTAAATATCAAATTTTATTTTTTTTTAGTTTATTTTTTTAAAGGATGAACTTTATATATTCCCAGCTAATAAAATAAATCAAATAATGAGTTTTTGAGAAGTAACTGTAAAGATTAATAGGTTACTCAAAATAAAAAGAATAAGCCGAGATCCCAATTTAATTAAAAATTAAGACAACGCTATTTCAATTTATATATGCTCATCATGCTAAGAACCATTAAAAATATTTTATAAATGCTCAAAATGTTAAGAACCAATACTAATGCGAAAAATCCTAGGATTTTCAAGAGGCTTGACCAAATTGGACACCGAAAGCGAATAAATGAGGAGATAAGTAAGCCAGATTGACTATTCTTAGCATTCCATGGAACAGGAATAACATAAGGAATATCGACCTATCAGTAGTTCTGAACGTGTGTGGGCGTTACCTCTAGTACCTGTCATGTTCAAAATTTGTAAGCTTTTGCGATTGGAGCAAATCGGTAGAGATAAGCAGTAAAATGTGGCGATTTTTGCGTTTTGACATGACAGAATCTAAGGTTTTGTAAAGATAGCATCGACTTTTCATTATCGCAATGGGGGGCGGGATCCCTCTGAAATATAAACACCTCAGTAGTGGTAGCCAGCCAATCAATAACACTTGGCCACCAGTCCGAGCAACATGGTTAGGCTGGCAATAACCCTGTGGCTGAGCGTTCTGGCCTTGGCCACCGTTAATGCCGAAATTGAAAACATATTTGCTCTAGCCAATAAGCAACTCCTTACCGAAGACTTGGCCGTGGATGTGGATCGTTACTTGGCCGTTTCCAAGCTAAGACGCTTGGCAGTGGAGTTCTTCGACTACTATTCCAATGTAACACTGGCGGATCTGAATGTTGGGGATCAGCACTCGAGGCTGCCTACATTGCAGGACATGGAATGCCTAGCAGACTTGGCGGTCGTAACCAGAGACCTATCGTCTTTTAAAGTCTGGGCGTTGAAGAGTAAGTGCTCTGCTGGAGTTCTCAAGAAACTCTTAAACCAAATCTATGCGATCCTTTTGCAGTGATCGATTCGTGGGGCCTGCTGCCTGCGGGAGTGCTGGTGGGAAACTTTTGGGACTTGGGCAACTTTGATGAGTGCATTGGCATAGCCCACGCTGTGACCACCAGACACAGTGTCAAGGGCAAGTATTGCCTTACCAAGTTGGTTCCGAGCGTGTCGTTGAATGTGGCCATTAAGACGGCCGTCTGTTTTCCCGCCTCCTGTTCCGCCGCCAACATGGACACGATGCTGAAAAGACTCTTCCAGAACCTCCTCAACGTGGAGATCGGCACAGAGGTGCAAATAGTGGACGAGGCTACGTGTCAGACCTCGGCGACGAAGCCCTACGATGGCCTCACCATTTTCACCATGTAAGTACAGCTGATTTGGAAGATTTGCCTATTTTTTGTATTATTCTATGTTCTTGTAGAGTCGCTCTGTCGATACTGGGTGCTCTAGTGGGACTCTCCACGATTTATGATTACTTCTTTTGCCAGGACGAGAGTGAGTATTTTTCAGAGTACTTAGTTAAAACTACCAAAGCTAATGCGCCAATTTCCTTGGTAGAAACCATTAATCCAGTAGTCAAAGCTTTCTCGGCGCGTTCCAATTCGCGGGCTCTATTCAAAATTGTGGACACCAATTCGAACCCCAATGTCATCGACTGTCTTAATGGAATCCGTTGTCTTTCGTTCATCTGGGTGGTCTTCGGTCATGAATACCTCGTGTTTGCCATGTCACCCAACATAAACATGGCCGACGCTTTGAAGGTGAGCTAAACCCTTTAACGGACGAAAATTTTAATAACATATTACTATTGTTTAGTGGATGAACTCCATCTTCAGTATGTTTGTGTTACATGGGATCTATGCTGTGGACACGTTTTTCTTCTTGAGCGGTCTATTGCTCGTTGTGATTGCCCTGAGATCGATGGACAAGTGAGTTTAGTTCTTACTTAATATTCTGAACTGTAACCTGATTTTTTTGGCACTTTTTGTTCAGAACCAAGGGAAAGCTAAACATTCCAATGATGTATCTGCATCGTTATCTCCGCCTCACCCCCATCCTGGCCTTCGCCATTCTTATCTACATGAAGATTCTGCCACTCCTGGGAAATGGCCCGCTGCAGGGATCAGTGAACTTCGACGATTACTCATCGTGCGAGAACACCTGGTACTGGACGCTTCTATATGTGCAAAACTATGCCACTAATGATCTGGTAGGGTCTTTGAACAACGTCCTATGGGACCAATGATACTAATGAAATCGTTCTTGCAGTGTATCAGCCATTCGTGGTATTTGGCCGTCGACATGCAGCTGTATATATTCGCACCCTTCCTTCTAATCGCCCTGTACAAATGGGGCAAGAAGGCGGCTGCCGGAATCTTTATCCTTATGTTGCTCCTGGCATGCTGTCTCTTCAGCATAATGGTCATCAACAATCTATCCCTGTAAGTGGTTGCGGGGAATATCGATCTATCGTGGCTAAATTCTCGGCTTTTTCAGGGGTGGCCAAGGTACTGGAGCCATGAAGAGACTCTACTATGCAACGAACACTAGGGCCTCGCCCTATCTCATTGGCATCTTGTTTGGGTACTTCCTGCACACCAACCGGGGCAAGGACTTCAAGCTGAACCGTCTCACAGTCCTCGTGGGCTGGCTGGTTGGCTTGGCCCTGATCTTCACCTGCTTGTTTGCGGTCTATGGCCAGGGTTCGTTGCCCATTGTGGAGGAGGCCTCCTATGTGACCCTATCCCGGATCGCCTGGCCCCTGGGCCTCTGCTGGGTGGTGTTTGCCTGCATGCACGGCTACGGAGGACTGGCCAGCGGCTTCCTTTCCTCCCCGCTGTGGCAGCCCTTGTCCAAGCTCTCCTATTCCGCCTACATATTCCACATGTTCATCGAGGGTCTCAACGGAGGAATAACACGCACCAGCACCTACTTCAGTGACTACCAAGTGATGCTTCGATTCTGGTCAGACTTTGGCTTTACGATACTGTTCTCATACCTCATGCACATTCTCATCGAAGCGCCATTTGCCAGCCTGTTGAGCATTCTGTTGCCAGCAAAGAGGCCTAATCCTCCGCCAGCGGCTGTCATTGAGGCCAAGATTGCTGAAGTTGAAACAACACCCGACGAATCTCCAGTAGAGAAGCCTGCGGAAGTGAAATCCGATACATCTGAGGAGGTGGCTGGGACTCGCCCCGAAGATAATTCAGTTTAAGCATAAGTCTTAAGTACTTTTTATATCAAACTACTTTTTTCGTAGCCATTGAACTTGTATTTAAAAAAATTTTGTTAACGCTATACAGTAAACCATTTTTAAGGCCATTACTTTTCTCACAGAAATCAGATTTCGAATTGTTTTATCTCTTAATCCTTTTCTTAATTCCCTAAAAATCTGCGTTTATAACTTGGTTTTTAATTTTTGTTCAATTTTTTGTCAATTGCGCGAAAAATGGGCTTGCAGAAAAGTGCCAAAAAACTGCACTTCTAAGCTCATAACATTTTGTACAGACATCCGATTTCAAAGTGGCATACCTCAAAATGATTGTGGTTTAATACTCTAAAAAACTGGATTTTCACTTTTTTTTTTGTTGGTCGATTTTTAGTCATTTTTAATGATGTTACCCCTTTCCAAATTTTCGAAAAATGGGCTTGCAGAAAAGTGCCAAAAAACTGCCCTTATATGCTTATAACATTTCGTACAGACATCCGATTTAAAAGTGGCATACCTCAAAATGATTGTGGCTTAATACTCTAAAAAACTGGATTTTCACCTTATTTTTTTTTTTGGGTCGATTTTTAGTCATTTTTAATGATGTTACCCCTTTCCAAATTTTCGAAAAATGGGATTGCAGAAAAGTGCCAAAAAACTGCACTTCTAAGCTCATAACATTTCGTACAGACATCCGATTTCAAAGTGGCATACCTCAAAATGATTGTGGTTTAATACTCTAAAAAACTGTGTCATAACATTTCGTACAGACATCCGATTTCAAAGTGGCACACCTCAAAATGATTGTGGTTTAATACTCTAAAAAACTGTGTTTTCACCTTTCCAAATTTTCGAAAAATGGGCTTGCAGAAAAGTGCCAAAAAACTGCCCTTCTAAGCTCAAAACATTTCGTACAGACATCCGATTTCAAAGTGACATACCTCAAAATGATTGTGGTTTAATACTCTAAAAAACTGTGTTTTCACCTTATTTTTTTTTTTTTGGGTCGATTTTTAGTCATTTTTAATGATGTTACCCCTTTCCAAATTTTCGAAAAATGGGATTGCAGAAAAGTGCCAAAAAACTGCACTTCTAAGCTCATAACATTTCGTACAGACATCCGATTTCAAAGTGGCATACCTCAAAATGATTGTGGTTTAATACTCTAAAAAACTGTGTTTTCACCTTTTTTTTTTTTTTGGGTCGATTTTTAGTCATTTCTAATGATGTTACCCCTTTCCAAATTTTCGAAAAATGGGCTTGCAGAAAAGTGCCAAAAAACTGCACTTCTAAGCTCATAACATTTTGTACAGACATCCGATTTCAAAGTGGCATACCTCAAAATGATTGTGGTTTAATACTCTAAAAAACTGGATTTTCACTTTTTTTTTTGTTGGTCGATTTTTAGTCATTTTTAATGATGTTACCCCTTTCCAAATTTTCGAAAAATGGGCTTGCAGAAAAGTGCCAAAAAACTGCCCTTATATGCTTATAACATTTCGTACAGACATCCGATTTAAAAGTGGCATACCTCAAAATGATTGTGGCTTAATACTCTAAAAAACTGGATTTTCACCTTATTTTTTTTTTTGGGTCGATTTTTAGTCATTTTTAATGATGTTACCCCTTTCCAAATTTTCGAAAAATGGGATTGCAGAAAAGTGCCAAAAAACTGCACTTCTAAGCTCATAACATTTCGTACAGACATCCGATTTCAAAGTGGCATACCTCAAAATGATTGTGGTTTAATACTCTAAAAAACTGTGTCATAACATTTCGTACAGACATCCGATTTCAAAGTGGCACACCTCAAAATGATTGTGGTTTAATACTCTAAAAAACTGTGTTTTCACCTTTCCAAATTTTCGAAAAATGGGCTTGCAGAAAAGTGCCAAAAAACTGCCCTTCTAAGCTCAAAACATTTCGTACAGACATCCGATTTCAAAGTGACATACCTCAAAATGATTGTGGTTTAATACTCTAAAAAACTGTGTTTTCACCTTATTTTTTTTTTTTGGGTCGATTTTTAGTCATTTTTAATGATGTTACCCCTTTCCAAATTTTCGAAAAATGGGATTGCAGAAAAGTGCCAAAAAACTGCACTTCTAAGCTCATAACATTTCGTACAGACATCCGATTTCAAAGTGGCATACCTCAAAATGATTGTGGTTTAATACTCTAAAAAACTGTGTTTTCACCTTTTTTTTTTTTTTGGGTCGATTTTTAGTCATTTCTAATGATGTTACCCCTTTCCAAATTTTCGAAAAATGGGCTTGCAGAAAAGTGCCAAAAAACTGCACTTCTAAGCTCATAACATTTCGTAAAGACATCCGATTTCAAAGTGGCATACCTCAAAATGATTGTGGTTTAATACTCTAAAAAACTGTGTTTTCACCTTTTTTTTTGGGGTCGATTTTTAGTCATTTTTAATGATGTTACCCCTTTCCAAATTTTCGAAAAATGGGCTTGCAGAAAAGTGGCAAAAAACTGCACTTCTAAGCTCATAACATTTCGTACAGACATCCGATTTCAAAGTGGCATACCTCAAAATGATTGTGGTTTAATACTCTAAAAAACTGTGTTTTCACCTTATTTTTTTTTTTTTGGTCGATTTTTAGTCATTTTTAATGATGTTACCCCTTTCCAAATTTTCGAAAAATGGGCTTGCAGAAAAGTGCCAAAAAACTGGCCTTATATGCTCATAACATTTCGTACACACATCCGATTTCAAAGTGGCATACCTCAAAATGATTGTGGTTTAATACTCTAAAAAACTGTGTTTTTACTTTTGTTTTTTTTTTGGTCGATTTTTCGTCATTTTCGTCAAAATGGGCTTGCAGAAAAGTGCCAAAAATCTGCCCTTCTAAGCTTATAACATTTCGTACAGACATCCGATTTCAAAGTGGCATACCTCAAAATGATTATAGTTTAATACTCTAAAAAGTTATGTTTTCACTTTGGTTTTTTTTTTTTTGTCAATTTTTCGTCATTTCCAAATTTTCGAGAAAAAAAATTAAATTTTGTAAAATTAAATGGACATTTCTTCATTAAAAAATTATATAAGTCATACATTGGTGTTTCTTTTTTGCTCTAAGACTATTTTTTTGTAAAAAACACTAATTAATCTTCTAATGGCTTAAATGGAAATTTAATTTTAACCTTAAAGAACTGTAATATGACTAATTATAATTATACTAATTTGTTCTCCGGTTTTATTTTTATACAGGCTGTCTGCCGCCCGTCGGAATCGGAATCGGAAGCCAGGGAGGCATCTTCGAGCAATGCGGAACTGGAGCACATGTTCGCCCAGGCCAATTTGGCGCAGCAACAGCACCAGCAGAGCCACAACTACCACCACTTCTTTTTAAACTTTTTGTTTTTATTGTCATCGTGCTTTAATGTCTCTTTTACTGATATTGTAAATTATGTTATTATTAAATAAATTATTTATCAAAATTGACATTTTTTTTGGCGAAATTTAGGCATTGTTCTGTGTGTTTTTTCCTCGTAGCTTTTGTATATGAAGCCCTCAGCTGATTTGGATTTTCATTACGAGCTCAACGAGGTATGACATTCGACAAATATTTTCATTGTTGTGGCCAAAATACAGATATTCAGGAAAAATCAGGACTGGGATCTTTTTCAAAAACACGAATTTTTAATTGTCTAAAAATCTGTGCTTTTTTCTTGGTTGATCGATTTTTCATCAATTTCCCCTTTTGAAATTTACGAAAAATGGTTCTGCCGAAAAGTTTTCTACAAACGGCACATTTGAGGCCATCAATTTTGTCACAGAAATCCGATTTCGAATTGGTATACCTCTAAAAGCTTGTGGTTTAATTGTTACTTATGTATATTCTTCCGCTTGGTTGAAAGTTTTGCTCTATGTCGCCAAAAAGAAGGCGACGCTTTTAACTAATTTTGACGTTCTTTAAGTTTCAAGTGGATCAGTCTATGACTCATATCAAATCACTGAAGCATGCACTTTGTGGCGATAAGAGTAATGAGTCGTTAAAATACAAATCGAATTGATTGGACGACTTTAAAACTCAAGGATTTATGTACTTTAAAAAACTGTAGATGTTTAGTGGCTTTATTTTATTATGACTTAATATAATATAAACTGATAAGCCTAAGGTTAGGACTCGAGGTCAACCACCGACTTCTTAGCGGCACATTTCTGATCGGAGTCGGAGCTTGGAGCTTCACACTGCTTCTCGGATTCGTCCTTGTGCCGGTCATCGATTTCAGCTGGGGACTCGGGTTTTGCCTGATCCTTACCAGCCGACGGTGTTGGCGAGTTCCCTCGCCTGGGAAACATGATCTTCTCCAGCCCTTCCAGGGGCGCCTCAATAATAACGTATAGCACAAAGGACATCAAGATGGTGAAGCCAAAGCAGGACCAGAAGTTAAGCAGCTAGGAAAAGGGAAATGTGCAGGTCAATACCTCTCCTCCGAGTTCTGTGTTGTCTTCACCGCACACTTACCGCATTATAGTCTGAGAAGTACGAGTTCGTCCGAACGCGTCTGTGGTTCACCTCCATGATGAAGATGTGCCAGATGTACGCGGAGTAGGAGAGCTTGGCCAGGGGCTGCCACAGGGGCGAGGACAGGAAGCTGTTGGCCAGTCCTCCGTAGTCCTGGACGCAGGCGAAGACCACCCAGCAGAGGGCCAAAGGCCATCCAATGCGGGTCAGTGTGTAAAAGAGGGCTCCCTCCAGAATCGTGGGCGAAGGACCCCGCAGCTTGGCATACGGATACATGGCGAAGATCGATGTGAAGATCATGGCCAGGCAGAGCAGCCATCCTGCCCAGACTGCGATCCTGTTCAACCGGAGCTGCTTGCCGCGGATAAGGTGCATGACGTATCCGAAGAGGGCGCCGATCAACCAGGGCGCGGCGTGAGTATGTGTGGCAAAGTAGATCTTCCTCTGAACCTCTGGCATCTGACCTCCATTTCTGTGGAGAGTATAGGATTAGCGGGGAAAGCGACCAATTCCCAGTGGCCATCTTACTTGGCCAGAATCCCGAAGTCGTTTGTCATTATGGTGGCAAACAGGCAAGCGGAGAGTAGCAACATCACCAGCAGGATGCCCGCAGCGGCCTTCTTGCCCCACTTGTAGAGGACGATCAGCAGGATGGGGGACAGAATGTACAGCTGCATATCCACCGCCAGATACCAGGTATGCGGCAGGCACTGAAATCCAGAATTCATTTATTAACGAGAACTTTGAACCAAACGGTACCCGGTAATCAAAGGCAAACTAGCTTAAGATAATCCACAAAGCTATTATTTCCTTTGTGGTTAACAAGAAACTTTCGATGGGCAGAAAAATAATAATGAAGAATAAGTCTCAGTCTATCCCAAGCTATTTCTTTGCTTTGAGAAACCTCTAATAGAAAACCATATAATAATAAAGCAAGGATAGATCAAATCGGCTTAAGATTTTGAAATAAATCTTATTTTCCTGTCACAACTAGTAAGATGGGAGCAAGATGTGGGCGTTCAACTTACCCTGTCGTCGGTGGCATAGTTCTGGACGTAGAGCAGGGTTAAGTACCAGGTGTTGGCGCATACGGAGTAGTCGAAGAAGTTCGAAGTCTCGGAAATGGGACCTTCTGCCAGGAGGGGTAGCATCTTTGTGTACACCAGGATCGCAACGGCCACGATTGGAGTTAGGCGCAGATACCGGTGCAGATACATGAGCGGTACGTTCAACTTTCCCTTGGTTCTGGCAAATAGATATCATATATTTTTAGGCAAACTCTTGAGGATGTAGTGCTCCAAGCTCACTTATCTAAAGCCCGTAGACCAATCGCTACTAATAGCAGGCCACTGATGAAGAAGAACGAGTCCACCGCGAAAGGAGCGTAGAGTATGAAGCTCGTGAAGGGTTGCGACATCCACCTTATGTTATCCGACTGGTTAATGCTCGCCATCTTAAGGTTAAGGATGTACTCATGGCCCAGGATCACCCAGACCAGGGACAGGCATCGCATGCCATTGAGGCAGTGGATGGCATTCGGACTGGCCTTGATATCGACAACGGTGAACAGGGATCGGGAGGTGGCTCGGGCTGAAAATGCCTTTACGAGCCGTGGAAGCTTATCTACAAGAAGCAAGATTCAGTTACCAGCAATTGCAAACACCCTTCGCTTGGTGACTCACCCTGCTGCGGACACAAAAAGTAGTCGTATAGAGTGCAGATTATAACGGTGGCACAAAATACGGACAGTAGAACGCTGAAGGAGATTAGAGTAAGGATGGGGTGAATCATCAGGTAACACTACTCACATGGTGAATATGGTGAGGCCGTCTAGGGGTTTACTCTCGTTGGTTTTGCATTTCTCCTCGTTAATGAAAAACAAATTGGTAGGACTGCTAACTCCGAGGAGCCTCTGGAGCATCTGCTTTAGGAAGGTCTCCATGTTCTTGGCCGAACAGGAGGAGGGAAAGCAGACGGCGATATTGAGATTGGCCATTTCTAGGAGCTCTGAATTGTAGCCAAACCACTTGGCGATGGGCAGCTCCATGAGGCAGTACTTCCCCCGGATGTGATGCGACTCACTGATGGTCCCGTCCAACCGGAGGCACTCCTCATAGTTGCCCAAGTCGAAGCGGTTGCCGAACAAGAGCCCAGAGGGAATTGTGCCCCACGAATCGATCACTGCGTTTTAAAAAAATGGTTCTGTAGGAGGGGGCTTAATCAAGGAGCAGAGGCTCTACTCACTTTTAATGGCCCACTTTTTGACTGAAGTAAGGCCACTCATGAACTGGGCCATGTCTGCCAGGCACACCAGGTCCTGTTCGTTCAACCGCTCATCGAGGAGATGCAACTCCGTTGCCGAAATATTCTGGAATTGGCGAAAGAACTCCATTCCCAATGAACGCAACTCCATGAGCCGTTCGTAGTCCCCAAGTGAGGAGATCTCGGCCTCCTTTAAAAGGACATCGTGGGTCGGCAAAACTCCATTAGCTACTGCTAGCCAAATGATTAGCAGAGTACCCGTTGCACCGATCATCTTTTTTTCGGACGCTCTGGTTACGACTGTTTGGTAATCGCTTGTCATTAGCCCATTTTTATATAAAAAGCCTGCTCCGCATTATCCCCCAATCGCGGTATCTTTATCTCTTACGCCCGACAAGTTACTACCAATAGATTAAATTGCTGGCGAATACACTACAGCATGTATATTTTAACAGTTCTCTATAATCACAGCTAGTAAACGGACTTTGGTGACAAAATTAACGTTCGGCGAGATAAGTTATTGTATTGGACTGCTTTGAATGCATCGGTATCAGTTTACGCCTGATAAATGTGGAATTTCCTTTGAACTGTTTAAGTAATTACAAAGAACTTTAAAGTTAGATTAAATCATTTTCGACTACATGGAACTACAAATAAACCGATGCCATCTACTTTGTTTTTGGCTTGCTACTGCAAACACCCATTGAGTACAATTGTATTAAACGAAACGTTTTGCATAAAATGTAATGTAAAACTCAGATTAGAGTCTGAATAATGGTAATAAATTTTGTATAAGAAACTAACTTGCTTGTGCTGTATTGTACAGGCTATAAAAATAAAAATCACCTACTTTTTGCAGAAACCTGTTCAATTTTCATTTACTGCCTAGTTCCAATTAATGTTTACTTTAATTTTCCTATAATTGAAAATAGGCCGAACCCCTCCAGCTACTGCAGCTGCGTTTCTTGTTTTATGGTCGATTTGGTTTTCCATACAACTTTTAACAAAATGTTTAAATTGTTTGTCAGTTGTCTGTCGGTTTTTCGGTGCGTTTCCGACAATCGAAGATCAAATGTCTCGTGGGGCAAAGCTTTCCCAGTGTCTTGGGCGTCGGATGGCTTTTTTTTTGATATCCTGGGTATTTTTCCAGGCTCGGTTACATTTTGTGGGAAATGGAAATCAAAACGAGTTTTCACTTTCGTCTACGTTCCCAGCCAATAATTGATGGGAGTGGGACAGGTTTTTCACACGCATTTCGGACCAGATTCACATTTCTGGGTTATGCAACAATTTGCAATGCCCCGCCACGTCAAGGTTAAAACAATGTTAAAGTAATGCTATAGTCAAGTGCACCGACTATTTTGATATTTTGATATTGATATTTACTTATCTGCTCATGATAATATATATTCGGCCGATGTTGGAAAATGGGAACTAAGGTATTCGGCAGCGAAACACAAATCCCTTCACACTAAATTCAGTTTGCATTTGTATTATATATACATCCTATGTACATTCCCAACGAATTCTATTCTAATTAAATTGGGTTGGAATCTACATATAACTTACATTCAAATTCCAATTCATTTGGTTTAAGCAATTTTCTGTGTCACTCTTAACTCTTGCAAGGATATATGAGAGTTGAGTCTCTCATATGGATATATAAGCCATATGGACTAAATAATTAAATATAATTTGGAGGGCCGCTTTCGTGAATTTCGAACAGTTCCTCTACTTTATACTTTATATTTTATACTTTATATATACTTTACTCTGCAATAAAAACATATCGTTACAATTCGAATAAAAAAAATAAACGCAGGTTCGGAACAATCTTAGACCTGAGCGCCACATGTTGACCAACCAGTCCGGCCAATACCTTATCTGCATACAGAACTGCCACAACACAACCGAAAGCCTTCAAAATTTTCGTCAAATCTTTTTGAAACTCATGCCCCAAACTGGTTTCCGCGAGTCAATGCGAATGTGAATTAAAAGCGAGAGGTTACCATTGTCCAGGCCCCCAAACCCAGTCAAATTGAACAGAGAAAATTCAGTTACGCCAATACTTTTAAAAAAGCTAACGCTGTTAATTACTGTGGAAATGATTAAACATATCTGGAAAATCAAATTCAACAGCCGCAGCTAGACAGAAATTGAAATTCATATTATTATGAGAGCAAATCGTGACAGCCCCTTGTTGGCATAGTGGTATGAATCCAATAAAACAGCAGTGTTCCAAAAATGTTTTTAATTACATGCAGTTCTTAGATGTATTTGCAAATCATGAGATTTGTTTGCAAGTTCCCGAGATATTTCGATATCAGTTTAAATTTATTTGGAGACTATGCTTAGATAATTTTGTCCACCCTTGCAGAAAATAAATATTGTTGGCAATATGTGATGAAATAAAGAAGATATATGATAGAGTTACAGATATTTGTAATTATATAATTTCTATTTAATTACATTATAAATGGGTTTTCAACTCATTTATATTTGGTTAAAAGGGCTTTTTTTGATAACCCCGATAATGTCGGATACCGATTTTAAATCACCTCCAATAGCCGATTTAACAAAGCCGATCAAAGACTCAATTTTTATGCGATTTACAAACTTTGTGCCTCGTTTCAAAAAATCTTAAATTTGTTTTGTTCTACAGCCTTATGGTTTAAGGGACATGTGTAACTATACCTTTCTGCAATCTGGATAGAAAAAAGAAAATCTTTGAAGAGGCTACAATTGTAAATATTTGAATAGTGAAATTCTTTTATTGATTTTCTGTTGATATATACTTATGAGAAGAAAAACATATTTTAATTTTAATTTTTTGAACTTTTCGAAAATGAGTTGAGACTAAAGTGCTGGTGCATTTCCACAGTGCGTGTGCAAGCTCAGCTCTTAAAATGCACTGGCCGCTAAGCATTATGCATAGTTTGTGCTGCACTTACGATCTATAAACTGCCGCAAAAAGTAGTGCAAAAGTAATTGTTGCCACGCACTGGAGCTCGTTGATAACCGTCGGCAGTCGGGGTTGCGATTACGAGATCCAGACGGCCAGCCAACAGCTAACCCGTCTAACTAGTTGATTTTGGGGCACTTAATCCACAACGCCCAGGCTCTGGTGGCACTCCGGTCGAGTAAAGTCAGGCGGCTCGACCGCTGGCCAGTGCCAGTTCTGATTGGAACGGCCTTCCGAGCGGTACGACCAGCGCTATAGCCAGTACTCCGGACCCAGATCGACCACACCGACTAGATCCGCAAGGATGTTAAGCCATTCCCGCCTGCTGCTGCCCATGGCCGTGCTGTTGGCCGTGCTCCTCGGACCCCTGTCCGCAGGTCCTGTTCCGCAGGACGCGGTTGTCGGACAGGATACTACGGTGCGCGAGAAGCGCGGCACTGTCACCCTGGACTTCGGGCTGCTTCTGCGCAATCTGCTGCTCAAGAGCGCCCAATTGTCCTCGGCCAAGGCCAATATCGTGAAGACCACTCGTCGTCCTCCGACGACGACCACAACCACGGCGGCCCCGCCCCCTCCACCGCCACCGCCTCCTCCACTTCGCATCCGGAAACCCTTTTGGCATCCGTTCTTCAGCTCCGGCCTCCTGCCCTTCGACTACGATGCGGACTACGCCGATCCTCCGGCTCCTCGACCCACTGCGCCTCCTCCTCCGCCCGCTCCGCCCGTTCAAACGCCCAGACGCGTCCGACCCCCGATGCGCCCCCTGAGCGCCTACTATGCCCAGCGGCCAGTGGCTCGTCCAGTGCCCCCCCCTCCGCCGAACTATGACTACGACTACGACTATGATGCCCCTGCTCCGCCCCCTGCCCCCACTGAGGCACCTGCGCCACCACCACCGCCGCCACCGCCTCCCGCCGCTCCGCCACGCCCAAGGCCACGTCCACGCCCTCGTCCGCAGCAGCCACAGCAGCCCGATCCTCAGCAGCGGCGTCCTGCGCAGCTGGGAGATCGCCTTATCTATCAGTACGCACAACCTACTGGTAAAATACGAAACCTTTTAACTAACTGCCGTACAATTGGGTTCTCTCCGACACTTTGCAGATACCTTCTCTAGGTCGCGAGCTGAGGCGGAGGCGGACGGCGGAGACACCACAGACGGTTCCGACGGAGATGTAGATACGGATGCGGGTGCTTTAGCTGCTGATGGAGCCGAATCCGATCCTCCTCCACCACCTCCTCCGCAATTTTTGGTGAACTACGAGAGTGACGGCGATTTGGACCAGCAGGACCCTCCTCCGGCACCGACAGGGACTCCGGCACCACCGGGCGACTATTTCTCAACCCTCGACCTGGGCAGCCTAAATCGCTTCCCGACTCTAAATCACCAGAATCAGCAGCAGTTCTTCTTTAAGTAAGCGGTATAGTTACTTATTACACCTTTTACAATATGTGGCAATCAAATGAAATGTCATAGTTTCAAAATATTAATGCTTATGTATTGCAGTGTGTGCTTTAAATTGGCCTTAAACCATAAATAAATATAAGTAAATATATTGTCACAATATTTTTTTTACCCAGTTTGCATAGTGGACAAAGTATAGGTGGTAAATTATAATTGAAATAAAGTAATGTTAAAAGGTCTGACTAATTTGTTTTTTAAGAGAGATACAATAGAGTACCAATGAATTTAAAAAGTGCGCCAAATGAAGAAAAATGAAGTGCTTTAGAAAATGCTGAAATATCGATTAGCTATGGTTCTTATACTAAAATATACTGAATACTAAATTCACATTTCGCAGGTTGTGAATATACATGACGGTGGAAGCCCTTTACTTCAAAAGGCGGAATATAATAATTACAGCTACTAGGTAATATCTACAATTGAGCAGAGGCTAGATATGTTATTTAGGTTTTAGCCCGTTCTCTAGAATTTACCACCAGCACAAATCGATAGTTGCGGCAAGTAATCGATGATCAAGTAAAACTCATCGATGCATCCATGTCTTAATCGATGTTTCTCCACCTCTACCGCTTGCTGTGTGTGTGAACTGAACTCAACTTTACTGAATTTAATTAAGAAAACGAAAACGAGTGAAGAAAAGTTGGAAAAGCGTTACGAAGTGGCGTTTCCGTAGATGGGATCGACATTCCTCTAATTTTCGGCACCTCGAGATGCGTAGCAAGTGCGGAAAAGTGAACGCAAACGCAACGCGTGTGCAGTGCAGGGCAAATCGCAGCAAGGCAAATAACAGCAGCAGGCGTGAAGAAAGCGACGCATGAGGGAAAAATGCATACAGATGCGAAAACCAAGAGCCAGCCGCGCTGATAAACAAGCAAGCACTAATTAATTGCCAAATGTAAGCCCTCGAACACAGCAAGTCTAATTTTTTCGCCAGATTTATGCATTTTCCACTGTCTCTCCAACCCTGTGTGCGTGTGTGTATAGGCTGTAAGTGTGTGTGTGAATACTGTTCTTTTTCGCGTTTGTGTTTCGGCCAATGAATGCAAATTAGTGTGCGTCCCGATGAATTGATTATTTTGGAAAAGGACAATATCGGACTTTAGTTTTTCCTAAGTCTTCAACAAACAATTGGATTTTGCAGATTTTTAGTTCAACTCCCCCTCAATGTGCGAGAAAGAGCTAGCATGAGTCGACCCATACGAATGCGTTTTGATTTTGTGTGTGTATTTGTCTGCTCCCCCGATGAGTGTCAGTGTGTGTGAGCGTGCGGTGTGCAAGCAAAACAAAATTAGGCGATTCAAAACAGTTGCCAAATTTAAAATGCGGATTTTTTAATAGTGCTGCACAAATTGCCCACGAAAATAAATCAATTAACTTATCCGGGCAGAAAAAAAACAGGCAGCGCAGCATCGTCGGTAGTTTTTTTTTTGTACGCCTTTCTGTGTGTGCTGCGTCCGCACCCAAAAAAAAGGCAACTCAGAATTTAAACCAAATTGAAGAACTCTCCGTTTTCTGCCACAATCGCCATGAAAAGGCGCAAAACAAAAGCCAAAGCCACAGAAAAGCACGAATTCAATTGAATTTGTGTCGCCTGAAATGCAAAACAACAAGCAGCCAAACCGCACACCAATACACACGTGCATATATGTGTGCGAGAGCGACATGGCTGCTCTTTGTGCAATAGTGTGGCTATGAAAAATAGGCGTGTTTCTGTTTCGAGTCGCAAGTAAATGATTGCAGTCCCACAACGGCGGGCTAATTATCGAGTGTTTTGCCAAGCTGCAAGTTGGAAGCCGGAGCTTAAAGTTGCCGAGATCCGCGTTCAAAGCCGGCGGATATCCGCAGACGCCCGCAAAACGCCTCCGCATGCATTTGTACATGAGTGTGTGTGGATTCGCAACGACGATAAATGCACCCCTTTAGTGCCGTTACTCCTTGCCAGCGTGTGTGTGTTTGTGTGTCTAAGGGCTCGGCCATGGAGCCTCTTCATGCCCTACGCAAGTGTGAATACCCTTTAAAAGCCATCTAAAATTGTCCTTGTCTTGTAATCCAATAATTACCCTTTATCGCATCACAATTGTATCCCCTACACCTACAGACCCCCTACATTTTCCAAAAACAGTCAAGAATAGTCTTAACATCACAATTTTCGGGTACCGGTCAAGGCGCTGCTGTATCCCTTACATCCATACATTCCTTAACAGGCAAAGAACTCCAGCAGAGCTGCCAAAAAACAGCTGACAGAGGAAAGCAAGTTGGTAACAAGCTAAGGAAAATAGCCATAAAAGAGGCCAGCAATAAAAATGTTTGCGATAAGGCCCGTGCTGCGTGTGGAATGCTGAATTCTGAATGATTTGTACAGTGTGTGTGTGAGTGTGAATCACTTGATCGATTTGATGATAGTCGGCTTTTGGCTTTTCCCGTCCAGTCGCTTCGCTGTCCAAAACACAGTGATCAGTCCCCTTGCCCCGGTCTCTTCACCCACTTACCATACCGTTACCAGTGCTTCAGACCCAAATCCCCAAAGTCTCGAACCCCATATGTGGTGTGCCCTTTGAAAATGACTAAGTGACTGGCGCAGACTGGGACTGACTAACCGGAATTGCCTTCTTTTCGCCCCTCTGATTGCGCAGACCTTCCAATCAAGCAGATTCGGCAACTGAAGCTGCAGACGACGAGCAGGCAGGAACACTGAGTGAACTGAGCTAGAGCATGAGAGACAGCCATGCCTTCGGCACGACCTGGTAGTCTCAAGGATCCGGAAATAGCCGACCTGTTCAACAAGCATGACCCGGAGAAGATCTTCGAGGACCTGCGCGAAATCGGCCATGGGTCGTTTGGAGCGGTCTACTATGCCCGCTGCAACCTCACCAAGGAAATCGTGGCCATCAAGAAGATGTCCTACACCGGCAAGCAGAGCCAGGAGAAGTGGCAGGACATTCTCAAAGAGATACGGTGAGTAATAACCCTTAGATCCGTGCGCTGCGTAACGGAGTAACGAACCAACCATTGCGCTCGGCAGCTTCCTTCGACAATTAAATCACCCAAACACCATCGAATACAAGGGATGCTATTTGCGGGAGTCGACCGCCTGGCTGGTGATGGAGTACTGTGTGGGCTCCGCCTCGGACATCATCGAGGTGCACAAGAAGCCGCTCCACGAGGACGAAATCGCCGCCATCTGCCTGGGCGTGCTCAGCGGCCTGAGCTACTTGCACTCACTGGGGCGCATCCATCGCGACATTAAGGCGGGCAATATCCTGCTCACGGACAACGGCGTCGTCAAGCTAGCCGACTTTGGCAGCGCTGCCATTAAGTGTCCGGCCAATAGTTTTGTCGGCACGCCGTACTGGATGGCCCCCGAGGTGATTCTGGCCATGGATGAGGGCCAGTACGACGGCAAGGTGGACGTGTGGTCGCTGGGCATCACCTGCATCGAGCTGGCGGAGCGCAAGCCGCCCTACTTCAACATGAACGCCATGTCAGCGCTCTACCACATCGCCCAGAACGAATCGCCGACACTTCCGGTAAATGGTTCAATCTAATTAATATAATGCTTATCAAATTAGCTTGCTTATTAGTTATTATTTTAATTTACTGGGCTTATATGAATTTCATAAAGTGTCTAAAGTCTGACCAAATGATTTTATTTACCCCTGCAGAAGAACGATTGGTCGGATGCGTTCTGCAGCTTTGTCGAACTGTGCCTCAAGAAGATGCCAGCGGAGCGACCGTCGTCGGCCAAGCTGCTGACCCATGCCTACGTGACCCGACCGCGCTCCGACACCGTGCTGCTAGAGCTGATCGCACGCACCAAGTCAGCTGTGCGCGAGCTGGACAACCTCAACTACCGCAAGATGAAGAAGATACTCATGGTGGACACCTGCGAGACAGAGAGCGCAGTGGGCGATGCCGACGACCAACAGGATGACCATGCCGGCGGCGACAGCAGCAAGAGCAATAGTATTACTTCGGAACACTCCATACACTCGGTGGGTGTATCGGCGGCCAGTAGTCAGGTGAGGGTCTCATCAGTCCTCTCTCTTATGTTTAGGACCTAACGTTCTTCGATTTGTTCTTGCAGAGCTCCTCATCCAATTCCATACCGGCTGCGGCCCAGAATCATCACCATATCGCTGCGCACCACCACCAGCAGGCGGCCAACGCTGCTGTGGTCGCTGCAATGCACCACCATCACCATCCACACCAACAGCCACCGCCCAGCTGGCCCAGTGGCCAACAGGGGCAGCCGGTTCCGCCCGGAGCCGTGTCCCGCAACTCGTCTCGCCATCGTAACCGGCCGCCGCTGCCCAACATAATGCACAGCATGAACAACAATGTGACGCCTACCAACTCGGCCTCGGTGGTGCCGGCCCCAGCGCCTGCTCCGGTACCCCCACTGGTGGATCGAATTCAGCCAATCCAGCCGCGTTATCTGACGACGCCCGCAGCTCAAGCGGCCGTGTACGCGGCCAGCTCAGCGTCCTCCCAACAGGCCATCTCCAACGCAGTCAATGATCACGGGCCCAACAACTTCGCCACCATACGCACCACCAGTATTGTGACTAAGCAGCAGAAGGAGCACATGCAGGTGCGTTGTCGCATTTCGTTATTCGATACTCGTTCCATGGCCGTAGATTTCTGTGTGCGCTCTCTTGTTGGGTGGAGTCCAAGGGAGTCGCCTGGCTGCAGCATAGATAATCCGCCTTCATGGGCACTCGACAGGGTGCCGCCTAAGTTTTCGTGGTCCAAGCACCGATTCCATACCATCCTGCGCAGCCTTTGTGTGTAACCCGTCCTGTCAGCGTAAATAGTCGGGAGTCATCCGTCGGCTAGCCAAACCATTCCCCCTCCTCACTCTCAGCACCGCTTCTGCTACCCCCATGTCTTCTAACTTTTGCCCTCTACTACAAGCTCTTTGTTGTGTTTATTGTTTTCCTCCCGCATCCTCGA